TACCCTGTCGATGTCGACATCGTCTTTCGGGGAGTCCGATGCGAGTCCTGACTCGCGAGGACGTAAGCTTGAGATGGTGAAGAGGACTTGCGCGTAACTGATGCGCCTCTAGTCCCCTTGATCCTACCGTCAAAGATCACCCCTTGAGGAATGTGCCAGGAGAAGGCCAGACGGCTGAGCGAGTCAGCCTGCAAGTTGTGTTCCCCTGGGAGATGGTCAACGACTGGATGAACATCATAGCGTCGTGCCCACACCTCTTTCAGGTCAGCCACCGCGTCACACAATCTTGAAATTGCAATTCGCTCGATAGAGCGACTCGTCATCCTCTCACCACCCCGCATCCAAGAGAGGGCAGTGCGAGAGTCAGTTAGGAATCTGACCTGGAGACCATGGGAGTAGGGTATGAGGGGGTCGCAGAACACGAAAGAAAGGCCGAGGCAGTATGCTTCTTGTCGGTTCTGATGCCATGACACCTGACTACCTCGCCAGCACTTGGCCTTCCCATATAGGGCGACCTGCCCCCCAGATGCGATACCGATGGAGAGGAAGAAGCCCATACCGTAAGGGGAAGCATCAGTTGTGATAGTAAGCGTGGCGCCACAGAATGCGATCTCGTGCTGACAGGGCTCCTTGCGTTCTGCCAACCGAGAACAAGCGATGTTGATGGTCCGAGCATCCTCTTCGCTGATAGTGACCCTCTCGTCCCAGGAGGTAGGCGACCACTTACCAGAGACTCTCCTTACCAGATCGGCCGCTAAAGCACACTCCGGGTGCAGCCCGAGAACGTCATAACCTGCACCAGCCCACCGAAATGCCTCACGTTTGGTCACGACATCACCGGCCGATAGTTTCCGCGAGACCAGGGTGGCAGGAAGACATTGTAGGCACATTCTGCACCCGCTTTCCCCCTGTGCGCAGATGAAGCGGACTCCGAGGTGGCGAAAATCGTCGAACTTGTTGGACGAACCGTCTGCATTGAAGAATACCCAATGGGTTTTTCGCTCCGAGAAGGTAAAACCCCACGTTGCTCCAATGGAAGTGATAGAAGAGTAGAGGCGCTTTACGGACGAGCATTCTCCGAGAATGGTGACGTCATCCACATAGGCCCAGCAGTAAACTGGGACCCTCCGATCGGACGACTGCTCAGGCTGTACCTCAGCCATCGCGGCGGTGAGTAGCCCCGATATTGCCTCTTCCAGAATTGCTGGTCCAGCTCGATGTCCAAAGAGGAGTCGACGCACCTTGTAGTGGCGCCCAAGACACCGTACCTGGGCAGTGATGCCCGATAATCGGACTCGATAGAAGGCAGTCTCCGCATCCAATGTCGCCATTGACAGCTTGGGGAGTTCCCTTTTTTCTTTGGCCTTGCTGGTGACTTGAGCAATGGCGAGACGCAATTGCGATAGAATAACACTGCACGATCTCCCAGCATATGAGCTCGATGGAAAGGTGCTGTTAGCCCTTCGCATGTCGACGCATGGCCTGGTCTTGCTACCTTGTACGACTGGAAAAGCTATTGCCTCCGGAATGGCAATATCATTGTCATCATGAGCGTCTGGATCACCGGCCTCTTCCCACCAGCCACGACTTTTAAATTTGGCGATCTCGCTGTCGAAGGTGGCCTTCTGCTCGGCGTTCAGACGAGTGTACAGCGCACGAGAGTAATCAAACACTGTCGATTGAGCGTGTCGACTTAGAGGAGCCCGTGCAAGGGCCCATGTCACCTCCACTGCGTGGGTCTGTTCCTCACAGTCTCATGCCTCACCGTCTTCCAAACGGCGGAGCCTTACCGAGTAGTCAGGTGCCGCTCTGACTGACCGCCAGTTGGGACCGAGATGATTTTTCTCCCCAGATGAGCTGGTGGTTGACCAATCACCACCGTCCGCGTCAGAGGGGAATGCTGATGAGTCGTCAGTGGCAACGCAATAGAGGGCCTCCTCGTCGTCATCGCAACTGGAAGTAACCGTCAAGGACTCGCCGAGACCCGTACCTGTCGACTGTCCGGAAA